AACGGAAACTCTGCCGCATTGGTTCCCTCGTTCCCTTGGAAGAGGGCCGGGAGAGGTGGCGTGTTTGTTCATCTTGCTGGTGGACTACCTGATGAGATACAGGCCAGGAGAACACGTCGTCCACCGGCCCGGAGAATTGACAGAAGGGCAACCTATGGCAACCATGCTTCCGGCGGTCTTTCTTCGCTGCCTTTGTGTATTTCTGTGGCGGCAAGCCAGCGCCACTTACAGGTCTGACTATGTACTTACAGCGTTTCCAGCATTTCCAGCGAGGTTCTAGTGCTGAGAACGCGACACATTACAATGAATTCAGAAATGCGCTGGTGAACGGAGACTTTTTTGGCGCTTTGCGTATGCGTGTTGTACCGTATGGCGTCCTCGGTGGGGCCGGGCGTCTAAGCCAAACTATATCCAGCGTCACAGAGATCTGCTATTCTTAAAGTAAAGTCAACAGCATATAGACCCGTAAATATAGGCTATTATTAAAGAAACGAGAAAGTCATTAACATATATATCGTTTTTTTGTAAACATGTATGACAAATGGTGTTGAGAGTGTGATGACGTCAGGCAGGCATCGTCCTATGCTGCCAGGGCTTTAGCCCCGGACAGCCCCAGCCCCAATTTAACCCCTGGTGTATTTGTGAGGGCGAGCTACCTATGGCATTACCCCGCTGAAGCTCACCAAAGTTTAATGATTTCATAGTTCAAAGTTTTGTCAATTGTTCTGTTTATTGGTCAAATACTGGTTTCTAATGTTTTCTGAGGAGTTTTACTGGAATGAAAGAGCACAGAGTACAGAAGCAACAAAGCAGCATACTGCATTAAACCTGACCTTCACAGAGAGGTTGAAGTTCATGTGGAGAGGAGGCTTCAGTAGTCTGTCTGCACTCTGTTTAGTTTTGCTATCTTACAATCAATATAGTAAATGTGAGGTAAAGTGTGTTGCCAATGTATCCGGTTAGAACTCAAAGTTGCGATGAGGTCTTAAAATGTATGGAAAGGGTCTTAAAAAAGGTCTTAAAAGGTATTAAATTTGACCTCAGGATTCCTGCATATACCCTGTCATAGAACCGTAGTTACAGCCGTAACTATCGTTTCTTCAGTTGCTTTACTTTGTGCACTTCAACACTCTCACACACATACATGTCCATACAATCCTCACCCTGCATTTACATTACTGATACCACGGACATCCACACCTCATACTTTACTGGTTTTGAACTTAATTAATTTGGTTTTGCTAAAATAAACATATTTTGTTAACCGTTGACATGGTCTGTATCCTCTTTGTTGTGGCCTTTTGAGCCGGGTCGTAACAGGGCAACTCTCCATCTATGAGGTGAATGAGAGGTTACCGTGGCATGGTAACATGACGCTCGTGCCTCGCCCCCCTCCTTTGCAGATAATCAACTCTACAATAAAGTCGCAATATCGATGTGTTTGATAAAAATCAAGAATTGTGAGAATGACATATTGACATTTGTGCTCCACAGACCACCAGCTGGGCAGACTTTCCCTCTCCGATGACCTTCCTATGGTCAGTTTGACGGTAGATAACGTCCACCTGGAGCACGGCGTGGTCTACGAATACGTCAGCACCGCAGGCATCAAGTGCCACGTTCTGGAGAAAATGGTGGAGCCCAAAGGCTGCTTTAGCCTCACTGCTAAGGTAGTTGTTGTAGAATTAGTTAAAGTGTGATTATGTTAAGCTAGAATCAGAGAGCAGAAAAGGCACAAAAGAGGTATAAGCTGTTAATTTGTAGCTAAATGTAGCATTGTAGCAGACTCTAAGGACATAATTCTCCATTGTCTCTGGTTAAACACTAGCAATCAGCGACATATGTGATGTTTTATGTTCATTCTAACACAATAAGAGTAGTCTAGGTGAGCTTTTTGCTGAAACGTTACATCCCTTGTATTGCCAAAGAAAGAAGTTGTTCATATCTATTTTTTCACATTTTCTACAGTTTAATGAGACTTTAAATTGAATAACAGTTGTTAAAATTACTTCCATGTTCTCAGCTTCTAAAACATCACAGCTCATGTATCATAAAAGATCCCAACATGGCCGTTCACCAGTTTTTGAATCACTGGTGTTTGTCCAATTTTCACTATTATGACAGGAACTAAAAGAAACAAAAGTTTTTTTTGGCCTCACTGCTAGTTTTTAGTTGTTAGTATTGGAAAACTGAATGTTTTAGATTGATGGGAAACACAATTGCTGCTGCTCAGAATGCTATTTTTACTGATTGTGATCGACTAAAGTTTAGAAACTTTTATTGTAGGAGAGTGTTCCATCCTTACCAACTTTTCTCTTGTCTCTACAGATCCTGGAGGCGTTTTCCGGCGATGACAGCCTCTTTGTTCGTAACTGCAGCCAGCTCATCTCCCAGAGTGACCGAGTCGTTACCATGCCTCAGTACGAGTTCAGGCAAATCTGCGACACCAAGCTGGAGAGCATCCGGCGGCGTATAGGCAGCTATAAGCAGGTACTGAAAAACACGTATTCACTGTCTTCAACACACAGACACTGTCAAATTCAAATGCTACATACAAACATGTCCTCTACTTCCACATATTAACTTTAAACAATCAACAATCATTGTCACCTTTTTCCTTCGTGATGAGTTTGCATCCCTGATCATGAAATGTAGCTTTATTGCGAAATACAGCTCATCTATTTACACTTGTCAAACTTGACACCTAATAAGAAATGTGATAATAAAAGTTGGACATCTCCCTTGTCCTTAAACATAATTTTGACATGAATTCTCTTCTTTAATAAACTATTACATGAATTAGTCTACCATTATGTCTCCATGTCATATTTTCCACTCTGTTAACAATTGTGGTGAAAGTGGGAATTATCTTATTATAGTCCCACAGTGCAAACATTAGAGCTGTCTGTCATGTTTTCTCCAAGCTAAATTCTGTCTCCCCTTTTTTTACACAGTTTGCCCAGGAGCTGAGAAACAAGGCGTGGCCCTCCTTCAGGCAGGCGGGGTTGCGCCCTCACCCACTGGGCTGCATGGACTTTGTTCCCACCAACTGCCAAGTCAACTTCATGCAGGTGTCTAACCCCAAGAGCACTACCTCCGCTGGCAGGACTTTCAGCATCCGCTTTGGGCGCAAGAACTCCATATATGGCCTGGATCCTGACCAAGGTAGACGACACACCATCATCCAATAATATTTGAGCTCTCTGTCACATATCCTCCACTAAGCTTTGAAGAGAACCATCCCCTTTGACCAACTTAACACCATCTCAGTGATCATTCTGACTAATTACCCTACACGACCATTTAAATCCCGCTGCAATGTTGACCCCGGCCAAAGCAGCTATAAGGTCTAAACAAGGATTTCCCCCTTAGTAAATTAGATAAGTGCTTTGCCATTAAGACTCCATTAGCCCCAGGCCTTACCCATGTTATTGACATGAGAAGTGAATGATGTCGGTGAAAACGCTGCCTTGAGGCGGCGTAAGAATGTTTGTCAATGCTACTGCTGCAAGAGGTCAAAGGGGAGAGAAAGATTTCAAATTGAATGTAATGTCGCCAAAATAATTATAAGAAGATGGTTAAACTAGTAGAAATACTTCATCCATAGGCACGGAAATCCTGTCTTCTGTCTATATGGCTGTCAAAATGCAGCTTGTTTTCAATTAAGAGTTAGCATTGCTGTCCCTGTTCCAGGATCCTCGTCTGTCCTCTCAGCACCAGCTGTAAGTCAGACATCTGCCTGGCAGTTGTACCGTCAAGATCTTCTTCTATGGTGCTTTTCAGTGTGTAGAGCACACTGTGAACTTCTGTGTGTTCAAACAGCAACATAGATAATGTTTTTGTCTAGTGGCAGTAGCAATTAATGGCAAAATAATGAATCAATGAGGATTATTACCTAACTACCTGATACAAAACATCCTTTTCCAGCACCATATCCTTGCATTTAAAGGAATTTGTGGATTGTTAATAACATTTAAAAACAGGCTATACATATATTACATTGTAATGCTTGCTGTGTACTCATAGCACACACCCTGGTTTCATAGTCAGAACTTAATCAGTCTACAGTTTTGTGATGTCTCAGGTTATTGCAGCTTAGTTTGGCTTCCAACCCAAGTCAACAGTTTAGCCTCCTGCTCTGGCCGTGCGTATCAGTTGCATAAGCGCCTTTTTAAGAAGTTGTTTTTCATCGACTCTAAATGAAGAACAGGCAGGAGAGTAACTTCATAGGATTTTTGAACATCTGGGGTAGATATAATGTTCAGAGATGTTTCCTTTCAGCCACTGCAAACATGTTTATCGTCTCCTCTCCTCTCTGTCCTGTAGCTCAACTCAACCCCATGTCCCACATCCAGCACTGTGTGACAAGCATGGGCGCTCCTTCCTGGAACTGTTCCGGCCTGGAAGAGGACGAGTTGGATGGCAGTGGGGATGTGAGCGTGGATGGAGGCGAGGGGTTGAATGACAGTCGGCGGAGCATTCACAGTGAAGGCGGGTTGAGCTTCCTGCTCAAACAGGAAGATACAGAGACCCAGGATGCATACATTCACCTATACAGCCGCCTGGACGTCGCTGTGCGGGAGATGAGGCAGTATGTGGCCCAGATAGATGTGTAAGTGCTACAGTTCATTTAGTGAAACTGAATCATTTGAACCTAAATGTTACCAAAAACACATTAAAAAAAAACATTGACTTTGAGAATACTCACTAATATCTGGGTTTCGGACTCATTCCTGCACCACTCTGTTATCACTTTATAAATGTTTTGCCATTCCTTATAAATCTTTTATCTCCACCCCCATGAAAAATGTCATCCATCAAATTAGAAGAAAAGTGTTTACTCATATCCATTCAGAAAATATCTTCAGCGCTAACAGTTGGTGCTGTTACAAAATAACAGCATTCCCCTGGTGTTTATGTGAGAGTAGACTATTTTCATAGCCTTCACGGTGACATTTAGAGATTTCTAAATAAACAGTTCCGAGCTGTTTTCCCCGCAGCAGCCTCCCGAGGCTGTCTTTGTCTGTCTGCCCTTTGCCTTGTTTAAAGCCCAGGGTTTACAAAAGGAACATTCTTCAGGCCCAAAATATTTATGGGCCGGGCCCAGTACAGGAACAGGGAGTGAGGCCAGGATAACATCAAGAGAAAGAGACACATATTGTGTGTCTGTGCCGAGGAAGGGGTGTGACAATGTGTCTGAATATTTGTGTATGTTTGATTGTGAAGGCCTCTGCGCAGAGTGTCTTATAATAGAAATAGAAGCCTTATAATGTTTTATTATTACATTTAGTACACTTTATATAGCTGAAGCTATCAACACTTTTAAAACCACAAAAATATACTTTAAAAACACACATGCTAAAAATGTGTTACATAAGCTTCAGCCATGTTTGGTTAAATGTGTTTTCATATCTCATTTGAATTTTCACCCTTTGTTTTTGTCTCCTTTTAGCCTCTTGTCGTCTATCACGGAGCCCACGCAACTCCAAGGGGAGGGTGGGGAGCCTCCGGTCTACGAGCCCAGTCAGCCCCCGTCTCTGGCCCCCTGTGAGGACGGCTGTGATCAGGACAAAGTGGAGCAGGGCGGCATCAAGAGGGTCTGCTTCAAGGTGAATGAGGAGGACCAGGAGGACTCGGGTCATGACACCATGAGCTACAGGGACTCCTACAGGTAATGTTTAAAGGCCGTCTAAAAGACATCAGACCAACTTTGAAAAGTTGGTACTAAATTGAACATGGTTATGAGTTCTCCAGGTATTAAAATACATTTGGTTGTCTTCAAACTGAGACTAAAGTACCTTAAAAATTCATTATAATTTAGACATTATGTTTAGTCTTTATTTTAGGGGGGGAAATCTATATATATACCTTAACAGAACAGGGAGAGAGATAGAGGTATAAAAAACAACTAAGAAACAATAAAACGTAAAAAATAACTAAAGGGGTACGAGTCGTCCACCAAAGATTATAAATGTAGCAATCATTGTTTTCCTTAGGCACAGTATATCAGGTGCAAGACAAGTTATCAGCCAATTTCTCCAGAAGGCATCACCTTTGTAATTTTCCTGTCTTAGACTGAACGTCATACCATGAATGTTTTTAATTATGACTACTCATTGGTTAATAGCGGGAGGTTCCTTACAGAGCCATCACCTTGCATTGTACTTTTACTCACTATCATCAAGATTTGTAACAGATTATGTCATCTTTTGCTGATTCTGCATCCGTATTTCCCAAGTAAAAGGATGCACAGGTAAAATCAATATAGTAGAACTTAGACCTTCTCTGATAGTATTACAAACAACCTCCAAGAAGGGTTTAAAGAGGCCCTATTACGCTTTTTTTGGTTTTCACTTTCTTGTACTGTGTTACATAAGTCTGGTGCATGTAAATAGTCTGCAAAGGCTAAACTCCCAAAGTTCCCTCAAGAGGGAGTTTCTGCAGTTTCCTGCCTGAAACGCCTCATTGGACTCCTTTGTTTACTTCCGTAACATAGTGACATCACTTTGTGACCTATACCCTTCTATTGGCTAGCGCTCCAACACATCATATGTAAAAGCCTAAGGCGCGGGACATCTCTAAGCCGGCCAGCTAACCAATCAGAGCAGACTGGGCTCTGGTTTCAGACAGAGGGTTTAGAGAGGTGCTGCAGCACAGGCAGTATGAGAAAATAAAGAGTGTTTGAACATTAAAGCATGGAGACATGTCACAGTAGAGACACAAAAACAAATATCAACCTGAAAAGGAGCATAATATGTCCTCTTTAAAAACACTTTTGTCACACCTGGATTTTTGACTGTGAACTGTATAGAGCAAGAACAACACTCATTATGCCCATTGCCTCCCCTTTTTGGAGGCTAAAAGTCATTCCACATGTTGGCATTTTTAACCGAGATCCAGGGCTAAAAATGACTTCAAAAATGTTTTGGTCAGATCTGGTTATGTCATTTACTTGTTGTGAGTTCATTCAGATGTTCCCGTGTGTGTGAGAGAGAGAGCGTGTGTGTGTGCACTGTTCACTGGGCAGAGCTCCACTCAGCCCCACCCTCCACCACCCACTAAGATGTAGTTATTGGTTGTTGGTGCGGTGGGCTGGTGTATAATAGAGCCAAATGTTTGGGGCGCGGCCTCCTCAAACACTCTGTCATTAAGGCCCGGCCACGCCACGTGAAACGTGACTACCTCATCGCAATAAAATGTAAAGGGAAATGTATGCTGTTGTACACACACGCACACGCACACACTGGTAGGTGTTTTTAAGACAAGTGAGGGGGAAAAAGTTGCAGTATAAGGCTTCACTGTGATCGCAGATGATTCATCCCGCTTGGGAACTTTTCATGGAAATTGCTACTGTGTTTCAGAGGTGGGTGGTGAGACAATTAGACATTAAAGCCTGAGGTGGTGACGGTCCAACAGTCAGATGTCTAAGAACAGTTTGTAAGGAACATAATGTGAGAGCAAGGACAGGAAAGACACACACGTGCAGACACGGGGGTCAAAGAGAAGGAAATACAGAAGGAATTAAGCAGAGAAGAATGTTTGAAGAAGTTGTAATAAGTAGTGCTTGTTCTAAACTCTGGTACATTGTGTCTGTTATAAATCTTTGGCTCCTGAGTCCGCGTGTGACCCCGTCAGGACCTTTTGTCTTGTATTCAGACATGACAGTGTTCAGATCCAGCTGAAACACAACACAGACCCCCTCGGCATCAGAATGCATCTCCAGTGTCAACTTGTGATTGATCGTCCTTCGTTGCTTAACATTTTAAGTAGTTGATATTCATCTTGTCTGTTTCCTTAAACCAGAACACCCTCATAATCAATCCAGTGCAGAAGTTCTTTTGACTCAGCTTCCTAAATCAGACCAGCTCTCTCAAGATATTACACTTTATATGAATCTTAAACCAGCTTAAAAGACTATTTCAGCCACAAAACACTTGTTTGTTTATGATTAAATCACCCCCATTTTACCTTGAAGTCTTGAAGAAAATGTCTTTCAAACTCTCAAACAGCTCCTGCAGTATAACCCGCGTCTCATGTATCCAGTTGAATGCTGACTACTTACTTACTGTTTAGCACCTGTCCATGCTAATCAGTAGTGTATTTATTATTAAATAAAGCCTGAACGCTTCCATTCGACTCATAGGGACATCAATATATAATACTCAAGCTTCTATTGGCTAGCGCTCCAACACATTGTACATGATTAGCTAAGCGCCGCACATCTCGAAACAGTTGACCAATCAGAACAAAGCCAGCCAGCTAACCAATCAGAGCAGATTGGGCTCTGGTTTGGGAGGGTGATAAGTGTTGCAGCAGCACAGAGAGAAGAGAGAAAATAAAGACCTTTTTGAACATTAAAGCATGGAGACATGTCATAGTTGAGGCTCATAATACACATTTGAATCATGAATATGAGCAAAATATGTGTTCTTTAAGATTTTAGTGAAAATGCATGTTTGCAGGATAGTGATCATTTGATTGCATAAATGAGACTTCACAAGTCGACTGAGAGATTGTATATCGATTTTTTTTAAATGTATTAAACCTCTTCTCAAATTTTGTTCAAAGTGGAGGCTTGCGACAAAAAAAAAAAACATTCTTCCTAGAACTCAAGGTAACAAGGGGTATCATTTTTTGTGTGTGTGTGTGTGTGTGTGTGTGTGTGTGTGTGTGTGTGTGTGTGTGTGTGTGTGTGTGTGTGTGTGTGTGTGTGTGTGTGTGTGTGTGTGTGTGTGTGTTTTTTTGTTTAAGCCAGTTACGCTACTACAAGCAGGATAATTGTCACAGCGGTGCTCACACTTTTGGCAGGAGGTGTGTGGTTAAATTTAGAAACTACCTTTTGTGTGTGTGAGAGAGAGAGTGTGTAGGTCTCTGAATTAAGCCGGAAAGCACAACTACCCATGCAGAAACGGATAGCCAGAAGGGGAATAATGCAGGACACATACGGAGGAAGGGAAATGAGTGTAAATTAGGCAAGAAATAAAAAGAAAAACAAAGGGTAGGCAGGCCTGAAGAATGATTAGACAGAGTGAATTTGAAAGAAAAAAACTTGGTGCATAAACACACGCCTTACTTCTAACACAGTTGGTTTGTAGGGTGTGTGAGTAAAAGCCAGCCGAGAATCCAAGCCAAACTACTAAAACATGGTTATATTAACTCTTTCCCATAATTGTAGCAGCTCTAGCCAATCTCCTTTTACCACCACACTCACACACAAATTAGGGACCGCAAAATAACCAGGCAGGTGATATCCCGCTCCGTGCATCCCCCACTATATCCTCCAGCCGACCAGGGTATTAGCAAACGAACACAAAGCCAGTGTTTCTGTAGCTGGTAGCCACTCTTAGGCCATTTGTCATGATAATTCTGCTTGTGAATCATCCGGAGATCCTCTGAGGCGATCGCGAGCGCACTCACTTGAAGCGACGTATAATTTGAGCCGCATAAATCTTCCACATGCTCCCGGTAATCATGTTCAATCATGTAAGACTATAAATACCAGGCTTTATTATTTTGACAAAACAGACCTTTTTCTGCACACGCTAGTATAAAGTAATACATATTTGTATTTAAGGCTTTACAGAGAGAGGCATTCAGTGAATGGCATTACATTTGAAAGATAATTAGCGTATACATAAGACTAGAAGCAGCAGTGGCGGTTGTTTCTGTGTGAAACGTTTAATTAGCTTTGGTCTCGCATACTGTAAATCAGAAAAATTCATTTACAATCAGAAGGATTACTTGGCAGCGTAATTACAAGACGCAGCTCTCCAAACCCTCTCTGCGGTTTAAAAACGGAACGAAGCCTTTTGCTTTATTATGGGTTTTAACTGTGTGTGTGTGTATGTTTTTTTTTTTACAGTGAATGCAACAGCAACAGAGACTCAGTCCTGTCCTACACCAGTGTGCGCAGTAACAGCTCCTACTTGGGGAGTGATGAGATGGGATCAGGTAAGGGGAAAAACACATAATCAAACTTTTTTCATCCATTTGTTAGTCAGGTTTTTTACGCTTTCACTCACAACACTACCGTGGCCAACAGGGGCAAATGCATTAGAACAGTGTCACTTACATAAGAAAAAATGCAGTGCACTTTCAAAAACTATGCAAATACAAAAACGTGCCAAAATAAATGCAAATGGAGAAACATCTACACCAACTTGACAACATGTGCAGCATTAGAGAATATTCACCAACTTGACTAAACATGTGCAGCTTGTAAAAAAAGAGCTGCATAGACAAAACACTGAAAATATAAAAAATGAGGCAAGAAGCTGAAAACATAAAGGAAACCGAGGCAGTAAAAAGTGATGCACGCAGCTCGGACCTGAGCACTTGTTGAAGTACTGGGATTATAAAGTTGGCCAACTGTCACTGTGTCTGAAAACGTAACACAAAATGTATGTAACCGCATGCTTCCTTACGATATAATTGCAGATCTGCTGTAAGCTAGCTAACTAACATAGTTAACCTAGGCATTTCAAATATACTGACAAAACATTTACAATTATGAAATAGACTACCTCAGTGACAATTGGCCAGCTTTATGATTACAGAACATCAACAATCGCTCCAGTTCCAGCTGTGTGCATCACTCTTTAGTGTCCCCGTTCTGTTGTGTTTTGAGCTTCATGCAGCGTGTTATATCAGCAGCGTTTTGTTCATGCAGCGTTTCTAGTTAACTCATGTGTTGTCAAGTTGGTGAAGATGTTTCTTCATTTGCATGTGTTTTTGCACATTTCTGTTTTGAACATGCAGCGCCTTTCTCCTAATGTAAGTGTTTTAGGCCGTTGAAACGCGTTTCCATGGCCATTCGAATATTTGACCGAGATAAAATGTGTCACTTTCCAAACACTGTAAAGTGAATCCAACATAAACAACATCCTCGTGAGTGTCAAACAAAGTCAAGAAATAAAGGATGTTTGCATAAGAATTATTCATATGTCACCAACTTGTGATTTCTCCTTTGATTTGTAATAATAAGTCATGCTTTCAAAAGAGAAATACTGCAGATATTTTATGTGGTCAGATATTATAGCCCCAACATTTCGTAACCCAACAGCCACATATTTCTTCTCTGAGCCAAGTATGTGTCCACTGCTGTTTATCATGTCGTTTTCACAGGCATTACGTCTTAGATTCTCCACAATGAAACATTCTGCTGAAATTATTTATTATCCCTTAGCCTCTTTAATCTGATTCGCCAGAATTTACATTAAAACAGATGGATAGAAACGTGTTTAATAAGTGCAGATGGTCAAATAAAAACGCCAGCATCCAAATGTGTGTTTTCTCCTAACTTTTTTTGTTTGGTGTTTTTTGTTTGGCTGCTAGGGGACGAGCTGCCATGTGACATGAGGATTCCCTCGGACAAACAGGACAAGCTGCACGGCTGCCTCGAGCACCTTTTCAACCAGGTTAGTCCAGAGGTTCAGTTTAGAGTAACTGACACATTCATTTCTGGAAGCTTGTAGCGTCCAAAAAAGATAACAACTATCTTCCCAAACTACACCTTGGAAGACGCTAAGTTAACCTAACTTTAAACTCATAAATACGATTTAAAACTAACAGATAGCGACATATCAGCTACATCGGCATTATACCCTACCACGGTTTGAATAAAAGCTTTTGAAACAGATGATAGTGATAGTAATCAGTAAACATCTGGAGTTAACTCTCTGTCCTCTGGTCAGGATCCTGGATAACTCTGCCATCTTTTACTTGACCTCCTTTTTTTTTAAATCTCTTTTCTTATGATTTGCTTTATCCCCTCACACACACTGATTTGTGGACTCAGTTTAAGATTTCCATCCATCTTTTTGTCTTACCAGCATCTAAGGTATTTTGGCTGCCCCGTGGCAAGCTCTCACTGCCCTAGTTCTTTCCAAATGTAAAGGGGGGGGGGGGGTGTAAACAGAAGTCTTTTTGTTTCTAAATGCTGGAAGACCCTTGACAGAAACTAGCAAAGAAAATCACAAAAAGATGTCTAGAGTATGAGAGACGATAACCTGATTCTTTCTGTGTGTTTGTTTTTCTCTTCCCACAGGTTGACTCCATCAACAGCCTCCTCAAAGGACCCGTCATGACCAAGGCCTGTGACGAGACCAAGCACTTTTACTCCGACCACAGCCAACCAGGTACCTATTCCTGTCTGTGTGTGAGCATGACTTTGTCTGTGTGTTTACTGCTAAAAAGGGGAGAAAGTGTGTCGTCATGCTACAATAACAGCTTTTTTCCATTGCTAACATGCATTGGTTAAAGCTGAAGTCAAAACTCTGCACACAGCCTGTCAGTGTGGACCAAATTGCGACTTATTTGTCATTGTTTTCACATAAAATGCATTCAATTAACACTTTTTTGTAGTTTGTAGTACTCTTCCTTTGATCTTTACCACACGTAAAACACACATTTTGAAAACAATGACTAACACTAATAAATTATAATAAATTAATATAAATTAAATCATAACAAAATAAAGGATACTGAAGCAGTTTGTAGTCTCATCTATGTTACATAAACGTTAGTACAATCAATAAAGTGAAAAGGAGTGTTTCTATTCCTGATGACATTTTGGTGAAAAATCCGTTAAACTTCTCCTACAAACGTGAAAGAGGCGCTGCAGCACTGTGAGAAGAATTAGCGTAATAGGGCTCCTTCAATCATTAATGAAATCCTGATGATTTGTTATTTTGGTCAGTGTGAGCATCAATGTTTGCTTTCTTAGTGAGAATCAGTGTTCTGGTGGAACAAGCTCATTTTGAGATGTGTGTTTTGGATGGTTTAAATGAATTTTTAAATGTGTCTTCAGTATTGACTAATGGTTTTTGGCAAAAAAGTCACACTGACACATTCCTGAATTGTATTTGACCAGAGTTTAGACAAACCGAGGATTGGACGGTGCGTTGTCGTTCCATCATCCACAAGAACATCCAGGAGGACCCTTGGAACCTGCCTAGCTCTATTAAAACCCTGGTGGAGAGCCTGCAGAGATTTGTGGATGGTAAGTGGAACACATGTACAAACACAAAAGGTTATTTAAAGAAATATGTGTAACAGTTTCAAGCATCTTGATTTCCTTCTGCCTCCACAGATGGGAAGAACCAGCTTCTCCTGGCTCTTCTGAAATGCACAGGTAGCGTGACACGTAAGCGTTCAACACAAACCAGTTAATATTCAAACTAGAATAAACCCGTCTCTAATTTTCTAAATAGTTCTTTGGGCTGTGCAATCACTGATCAGAACTTGAAGTTCACAGCAGCAGGAAGCGTCTCATAACTGGAGCATTTTAAGTGATTCCAACAGTTTAGAGTACTTTGCAAATGAGATCATGCACAAACGCAGCCAGTTCTAAATCAGGACATCTGCAGGTCCTCAAAACCATCTTCAAAGGGTATTAAGTGATGACAGAAATATTTATTAGAACTGTCAAAAATACATTTCATTCTGTTTCTGAGTACATTTAATTAAAAAATAATGTAAACTTCATAGATACAACTTTATCATGAATGAAATTCCGCCTGGTATTTTTATTTATATTATTTCAATTGCGATATGATTCAGAATATTAGGGGAAAATTATAATTGTTTAATACATATTTAACCTAAAATTACTATAAAATGATCATCACATGTTTTAAGAGGATTTGCACCAAACAGGTATTCTTTATTGAGTCTGAGGAATATCTTTTCTGCAACACAATCACAAAATATGTGAAAATACTCTGAATAGTTTCACATATTTTGCCTTTACCAAGTATTGTACGTAGTGATTAGATATTTCATCAGTCCATATACAATGATATATATATATATATATTACATGGATGAAAATGGATTTATTATGCAGACCTAGTCTCCAGCATATTTCTAAAGGTTTTAGTTAACAGCGTTTAATTCTCCTGATGGGGCCCATGTCCAGGTGGAGGCCAGTGGTTGTGTGTTTGTACACGGATCAGGTTGGTGTCAAAGCCCATGATGCTGCAGTCCCTTTGAATTGTGCACAGTGGCATATGGTGCTAGTTAGTGGGAGGTATCCTCTGGGGGGATTCAGTCTAATGGAATAAAGTATATGTATTGGATCACCTCCAGGAGTAATGAGGAAGGTTACAGTGGGAGGCCTCACCTTCTTATTCCCACTGATCTCCCCCTTTGTCCCCCCTCCGTCTGACACTCACTCTCTCCCTCCACCCCAGATACGTCTCTGCAGCTGCGACGAGACGTGATCTTCTGCCAGGCGGCGACGGGCGCTCTGTGCACGCTGGCGGAGCAGCTGCTGGCGGCGCTGCGGTCGCGGTTTAACAACGCCGGCGAGTACCAGGAAGACGGAAAGGAGACCAGCCGCAAGTGGCTGGAGCAGATATCTGTCATCGGCGTGCTGCTGCACTTCCAGTCCACACTAGCGCCGCACCTGGTGAGGACAGATGTGCTGTTTTTATTTAGCTAGCTAAGGTGGATGCCATTCCGTTTCAGAATTAGCATCTTAATGTTTATAAAAGTATTCATATATCTACAACCATGTTTTACATAAAGGATATAACCAGGTCTTTTGGAGTGTCCTAGGTTTTAATGTTTTTTCCAGCAATGCAGCTGCCCTCTTCCTGCTTCTTACTCTCAAACCCCTCTTCCTGCTTCTTACTCTCAAACCCCTCTTCCTGCTTCTTACTCTCAAACCTCTCTTCCTGCTTCTTACTCTCAAACCTCTCTTCCTGCTTCTTACTCTCAAACCTCTCTTCCTGCTTCTTACTCTCAAACCTCTCTTCCTGCTTCTTACTCTCAAACCTCTCTTCCTGCTTCTTACTCTCAAACCTCTCTTCCTGCTT